ATTTCTTCTAAATTAATTTAAACTAAATACTTGCATATATATATATATATATATATATATATGAGAAAAAAAACTAATTTAAATTTCATTCTTAATAGGAATAACATTTTATACAATTTCACTGTATAGTACAATATCCCTCTTATCCTTACAGTCGCTAAATCCCCATACTACTACCAAACTGAAACTGTCTCCCATCCCTTTCATTAATTCTCACCCTTAGACTTGACAGCTAATTCCTCTTTGCTTATATTTATTTCTATTTACTTTAAAGCAACCTAACTAATGGATGAAATTACGGTTATTAGACTAAACCTATTAGTTCTCTTTGAAAAACTAATGCTGAATCGCATCGGTGACGTCTCAACCGGTTATCCGTGCTGGTTCCCTACTCGTCATCACAATTATAAAAACACGTAACAATACAATTTAAGGTCATCATAACATTCAAACATGAAACCGTCCACGCTTATTATCTCGATATGATGTGAGCAATGAATTTACATGATACATTTTTATACTCCCTAAATTCGTGTCATGTGAGAGTACAAGAAACAAAACATGCTGCTAAAATGTCGCTGAAATAGCGTACATACACATACACATACGCACATACACGTACACATACACATACACACATACATACATACAGATACATACATACATCACCATGGTCGTTTACAAGCGCTGCCAACAGTTACTACTACCACTACCAGTATTGCCATCGGCATCAAAAGAACTACAAAAACAATGACGAGCTGCCCGGCTGTCCTGTGATCAAAAAGTGGACCACTCACTCATCAGTCATAGACATACACATACATACATACATACACACACACATACATCATACACACACACATACACATACATATACACATACATACACACACACATACACATACACACAGACAGATGTGCATACACAGATACATAACATAAATATATGCCTACACAACGATTGGTTTTAAAACTGTTCGTCATGAAATGGAGGGAAAAGGAAGGATAAAGGAGGAGGTAATAAGGTAATTTAGATAGATCATTTCGTAACATTGCAAAAGGACATTTGCACCTGTTAATTCCATTCATACATCATTTTTTTTTTCCTTCAAAAGTACATTTATAACAAGCGAGCCTAATCTGACCAAGTGGTTTGATTTGGCCTAACTTAGCTTGGCTCAACGAAACTTTGCAACTCATAGCCATTTGTCTTCCTGTTGATTTTCCGCTCTATAAATGATATTCCTGAAGTGCTACACAAAGACATTAGCTAAATAATACTACAAATGAAAGGACTGATACTCTTCCCTTCTATATGATTATTTTATTCATAAGCAATAGCCTTGGCTCATATCCAGATAAGCCCTTTCTTCCTGCAGCTATTTAAATATCCTCGTACAAGATGTAATTTTCTTATTATAAGCAAACCCGGATAATCTTACTACACTGAACGTCCAGTCAATAAATTACTGCATTATTCAGCAATCCTGATCCCCTATGCGATACGTTAAAAATGATTGGACGCTCATTTACTTCACCGCATGAATCACTCAACCAAACTATTTCAAAGTGTGATGAAAACATGAAGCGATAGAAAACTGGACACTCAATACCGACGTCATGTGACTACCCGCATACGGTATGATCATCCTTAGTCTTTCCATTTTTGAAGAAGTAAATGAATCGTAATCCACTATGGGTAAACGGAACAGTAACCGGAACTACGGCAATATAAACATACGTCCGGGAAGCATTAGCATAAGCAGTTTATCGCTGATAAAGGAATGGTAACTTATTTGTTTAGTGGAATGTAATAACTATTTTTAGCATGTATCATACAAAAGAAATAAATTGCAGAAGATCATTCCGAATAAAAAATAGCTTTCAAATATGAGAAACTTTTGTGTCAGAAAGAATTTTGAATCGAATTAATATCACTATGAACAATCAATTAATCTCCCATCTATTATACCACAAAATAAAATACATTTCCATTCTGTATTCAAAACAGAAAATTGAACACGAAACTCTATGATTCCAATTAGTGATCCAGAAAAGAAATAGAAAGTAATGGTGACAGAGTAATAATGAAGTTATGAACCTCCTATGAAAGTGAGTAGAATATCGTTCTTCATCTTCATCCGCACTGCTGTTACTGTTATCTTTAGTTCTTACTATTGAGACAGCATCGATTGTACTTCCCAGATGTGCCACATATTCATCCTTCATTTTTTTTTTTTTTCTGCTCTCCTTGTACTAAATAACAACAAATCAATGAGTTGAAAAGTTTACCAATTAAAATCAATCGTATCGGCAAAATAGCAAAACAAATAACGTACGTTGGAAAACACGATATACGTATAATAAATGTTTCACGGATCAATCGATTGGTAAAAATCTTCCCAACCTGATTAAGCAAATTCCGAAACACATTTACGGTTATGGTTATGCTGAAAGATTTATCACCGTTACTGATACATAATTAAATGACAATATAGAATGAAACATGACGAAAAGTCTGCCTTTGAATTAAAAGGCAAAGTATGCATTTGCTTATATGACAGATCAGAATGTTAAATTTTGATTATTCTATTACGGAATTACTATTTTCTAATATTACGAGTAGTTGGTGACCAATTAAGCACATGATTACCAATCAGTTTCCTGCTATATTTTAATCCTTCAAAGCATCTATCCGATGAAGTCAGAGAGACTGCGAATAGAATCCTATGATCCAGTAAGGGAATTATTGCAGGTCTACACTAATAATTAAATGCAAAATACACTTTAATGTAAAATTTCCCGCGGGAAATGAGTACCGGTAAATCTCACCAAATTGTTCACTTTAGATGCGAGTTAATAACACGAAGATGAATATTTGATTTCATCAGATTTTTTAAAGTTTTTCGAAATTCAAAAAAAGTGTTCGATATTTTTCAAAACATCGAAAATGAGCCTGAATTTGCTGCTTTGAATAAACACTAAAATCCAAAAATGCTCTAAAACCATGGAAATTGAGAATATGTGTGTGTATGTGTGTGTGTGTGTGTGTGTGTATGTGTGTATGTGTGTGTTTGTGTGTACATGTGTATGTGTGTGTGTGCACATGTGTATATGTGTGCATTTGTGTGAAACCAATAAAAATGACGAGAAGGGAAATGTAGTAAAAATGATGCTCATATACAACGGCGCCGGGAGCATTTTTATAAAATTAGAGTGAGGCCACGATGGTGTGCCATCGCATTCATCTGTCTATGGATGGGATGCTATTTCCCTTCCTTCCCATGCAGTACCATCACTGCCGTTCTATTCGTCCTTCCAGCTGATCACCAGCAGACGGCACCACCCTCCCAGCTGTCACAGACACACACACTTTAGTATTTCATCAAAAAAAAAAGTGCCAAATAACATTTGGTTTAATCTCGTCCAATGATGTATATATGTATGTATGTGTGTGTGTGTGTATGTGTGTGTATGTGTATGTGTGTGTGTGTTGTGCGTTTCTGTCTACAACCGATGTGCCATCATGTCAGTGTAATATACATTGATGCATAAAAGATTTCATAATGGTTGAAGGGAAAGAATAGAGATGTTATCTAACCTAGTACTACTGCTACTGTTACGATGTTAACTACTAAGTTGGATGAGATGAAGTGTTACAAGATATGACAAAGAAAACCTCTATCATACCGGTAATGCTGACAGTTATCTTTATCGTATCATTTCTCTATTACAGTACACTACGACAGTATCATGTCCATAATTTCTTGCGGTTTATATGTAAGGTAAGTAGGATTACAATCTTCAGGTTTACATTGAGTTGTTCCATTCTAGGAATCGATAAATCATTGTATTTGAAGAAGTAAATCAACCACTGGATTAAAGAAATGACTCTTTGCAAAATTTGAATTTGCTTAAACATACATGGTACCCATATGGAGGAACACAAATAAACGTGCTGTTACTCTTAGTAACATCACTTGCTACTGATCTACATCAACTTAACTCTCTAACAATACAATCTCATCAATCCAATTGCATTTGCCAAAATGATGGCAGGAAATTCGAACTTTAACAGATCTATTACATTTTGTATTTACTACCATATAAGCTATTGAAGAAGAGAAGACAGAAGGAATAAGTATAACAATTCGAAATAGATGAATATGAAAGAAAACTCAGATGCAAGGATTAAAATCTGAAGGTCGACATGATTTGTAAAATAAATTTCAGAAAACAGTATTTCGAATGTTCCCAAATATTTCATCGCCCGTGTTTGTACGGTTTTTTCGCTCAAATAATTTCAGGTAGATTTATTCTAATGTTTTCAACCTATTTGCGTTGCTTAAGGAAAGCAGTTAATTAATCAAGAGAAACAGTTCCGTCATCTTGAGGGAAAACTTCGTCTCCATATTCTTCCATATTTCCCACTTTATCATACAGTGGTCTTCACTTTTTAATTACTCAATACTCTCTGAATTTTCTTTCGGTTATGATGCAATATAACTTCCTCCTTTTCTCAAAAAGGTCAAACAATGTAAATCATTAGGCAGTAGCATTTAGTTCACTTGATGATTAAGTTTCAGTTAGATAAGTGAACTACATTATACCAATACCGATCGAGATAAAATGGATGCTGATACTGAAGTAGACGTTTATGTCATAGAAAGTTTATATCATAGAACTGAAATAATAAGATCACATTTAATCTGTTGGCATAACAGTGAACATAAGCAAAATATAATAGTAAAATCATTGGAACCCAAAAATCAGGCATCACAGTTGTTGGGTCGAATTACCATTCCACCTGGCTTCGTCATCTGAATGTGAAGAATCTTCTTCGTTACGAAATCTGCGAAAGTTACCTTCCTAAAGTGATTTTTTTTTTTTTTTTTTTAGTACTCACATTCTAATTTTATTCCGAAAAATACTGTGCATTTATGATAAAACTCTGATGAAAGCAAGAATTTAGACTATATTCAACAAATTTGTTCTTACATGTCCAACATGGTCTCGATGGTGGCCATCACTACGCTTTGCTCTGTGAACTTTGCTCGACCCAGTAGTAGAGTTGTTGAATTTAGTTGCACCGGTGTGCGGCGATGTAGAACCGTTATAACCAACTAGATAACGCAGGATACGATATAAAGCTTGGAATGGAGCTGCAACAGTATACTGAAGTAATTCGATCCATCTGGAACCACCATAAGTAGTCACTATTCGCTTACGTTTCTAAAACGGTAATTTGTTGAAATTCATAAAAAAAAAAAAAAGAGAAAAAATTCTGCTGAAATTCAGGATAATCAAAGTGCACATGAAATACTGCTGGAAATGCCTAAAAAAGCAGCGAAGGATGAAATTTCCCAAAACTTTTTTTTGAAATTTAGATGAGAACGGAATTGCCTACACGATCTAAAGGTCACAGAAGCAATGCTGTTTACTTTCCGTGAGTACGACTATGATCTTGCAATATTTTAAAAATCTGATGACATTTTTCGCCTACAACCAATAACGAAAAAAACATGTGATGAATGCACATAAACTTACAGAAAGTATGAGGACAGTCGCGGATGGTGTTAAACCCAGTTCAGCAAATGTTTGCGTGATATCAGGAAACTCTCGTCTTGGATACATTTGCACTATATAAAAATCATCACCCTGACGTCCATCCTAAAATGAAAAAGTATCCAAAACTAACTCAAGGTAGCAAAAAAATATCATTAAAAGAACATAAAAACACTTGAGTGCGTCAGAGATCAACATTGAAACTATAGTTGTCATACCTTCTTGATTACTTCTATAAGTTGAGAAAAGATATCTGTAGAAGCAAACTGATGTACCAACGTGGAGCCATCGGAAAACTTGCACTGGATGCGACATCCAGCACTTAAAATTTAAATATATGTATAGAATAAAATATGTATGTTATCTGTGAGTAAAAATCTTAGGATCATCGAATCTTAGGATCTATTCAAACATTCAGTGTACCTCATATAGAGAAGCCGGAAGTCATTTAAGGCCGTACTTCGAACCGAATGTTGAATACAGCCATAAATGGTAAAAAGTGAAGAGGCACACCGTGCTAAGAGTAGACTATTTAACTTGATTCACGTGAGTATAAAGAGAAAAATACCTGTCTGAAACTGAAGACTGCATATTAGTCTGATGTTCTGCAAACTTTGCTTTCCGCTCTTGCTCCAGAACGCTGCCTAATATCCCATTCATTCGTTCTTCTCTAAAAATATTCCAGCAAACTTCTTGTTGAATACTTGCTTAAGTGGTTCATTATAACATTATAACAAGTGGTTCATTATGAAAATTCCCCCATTGTACTTTCTTGTTTTATTCCATATACTTACTTGTCTGCCTTAATCTGCTGACGAATTTTGTTTAAGTAAGCTTCTTGCTCACGTTTTTCGCGATTCTTCTGTTCCACCATCTCGCGTCTCTCGCGTTCCTCACGCGACGCCTTTAATATGTAGTGTAATTTACCATCATAAATACTGGAAGCTAAAGACGCTGCTGTGGTTACAAATTAACTTTTTAGGCTTAAACTTGAATAAAACTATAAAATTATGCAGAAAATGTGTGAAAACAAAAAACTCGAGCCTGTCACTAACTTTGGCTTCCACCATTAACTTGCCCAAATTTCTTCTCTCGATCTCTTTCTGATTTTCTTCATTTTTTTTCACAACTCCGTCTTCTTTACGTTTCTTTTCAAGTAGTTCATGCGCTCTAAAAAAAAACCTAAAACTGTGTGAAACAAATACAAGTAAATAAACCAACGTGTTTCTTAAAATTATTATGTTTTAAAATCCTTGCAGATATCTCGTGCTGGCAAATTAAAAAGCGAAGTTTTAAATTTAGTGAACAAGCTTTTATATCAATTAAAAATTACCTTTTTATCTTTTCATCCATGTTGACAGCAGTAGATTCTTTTTTTCCCGTCTCTTTTTCATCTGGTTTACTAGCTGTAGTTAATGTGGATGATGAAGACTGGTGGGCAGCATTCAAAGTCTGTAACTTGAAACACTGAAGTCGGCATCAGGATTTCCGGATCTCCATGGATTGCCTAGTGTCACAATTACATAAGTAGTAAGTTGTTCACAATTTTTTAGATCAGTTACTGTAAGCAAGTAAGAAGTGAAATTGGTAGGAGTGAAACAAATAAAGCAGAGACAAAATTAAATCACGATAGATATTTGAGCAAGACAACAGTTTCTGGAAATATTTTAACTATGCAAATTACATGCCTTCATAGCAATCTTAAGTCTCTGTGCAAAGATTTCTTCATTCAGTTCTTCAGTGACTGTAATAACATCCAGAGGTTTTCCTTTCAAATCAATAACATATGATGCTGGCACAACAAACACAGGATCTAAAATCAGTTCAATTATAAAATTTCATTCAGATGACTTCTTTTTGTAAAAACTAGAAAATCAGGAACGAAGCCAATATCAAGGAATGCGTAATTTAACTAGAATGGTTTAACAATAGTGATTACGTCTCTTTCAAGGAACCTATAAATAAGCAAAGTGAAGTTAAGGCGACATAACGAAATATGCTCCGTTTCAGTGACAAATAACAATAGAAATATAATTTGTAATAAGAAAACTAACATATCTGTGCAAATTGTTTTGCCGTCTCGGTCCCTTGGAAAATACGTATGCCGACCAAAGCTGGTTGGCAAATATTGTTATCAATATTACTCCAGAGCTGGGCCATTCGCATACTTTGTTCATCTTTATTCTCTGAAATAGTTGCAATCAGGAAATTCTATAAGAAATTTAGAATATCATATTATCAATGCCATTCACCACTGGTATTAGTGTCAATGATGAAAATTTGTGTAAACTCTTGAAGGCAAAATAGATAGGAAAGCGTACACCTATTTTTTCCCATATCATATGTATGTTTTCCAAATATTCTATCTTTTTCCCAATGAAAATAGGACATATGCTCAATTCTTCGTGATTTTACTGGACTATTTCCGCATTTCATTGTTTAAATATGTATTTAACATGTATGTTAGTCAAGTTCAATGCCTCACAAGTCATAGCTAGATCCTGGATTTTTATAGGAGAAACGTACGCCATTTTGATGTCATTTCCAGTTTCCTATCGATAATTTCAATTCCAATATTAATTTAAACATGAGGTAATGATTCGCTTACCTGGTGGTTGTTGAATATTGACGATGAAGAGCGCATTCTGTTGGCGGCTTATGGCAATCGCTTCAGCAATTCCGCCCTCAAACCATTTCATATTTTCTCTTCTCTGTCTGTAAATGGAATATCAATTCCTCCTATTCAAATGTACCACTTTTCACATGTAATAACAATTAAATCAGACAAGATAAACATATTACATCCAATTCGTCCCATTTTAAATGACATTATGATTGTATGTTTTGTCAAATCCTGTCGTCTCTTCATCCACCTAACTCTTTCTCCTACTCTCCATTACTGATAATACTGCTACACGCAGCTAACTTCTAATCCTATCAATCTTTATGTCCAACGGTATTTCCCAAATCTTATTACTCTCTCTACCCCTCGAAACACTGCACTATTTCACTCTTTCCTTAAATTATTTCCAATCTTCCGTACACCTTATTTTCACAAACTTTTGGAAGACTGGTTTGATACAACAGAAATGGCTCTGTGCAATTGTGTCGTCTAAGCACATCAATATCGATTTCTGCAGGACGATTATCGTGACGTCTGTATTGCGTTCGCGTGTCACGTACGCCTGACCTACGTGCTCAGTTGCATCTGCTGACTATTCCACGTCTAATGCAAAGTTTGTTAAAGCCAAGTAGTTTAAAACAAGTGTTTGATTTGATCAATAAAAACTGATATGTGTGAAAAGTACGTGGGGCGTGGACCTGATAGGGTCAGAATCAGTGCTTCCAAATGTCAGCAGTATGTGAAGGACTGAAAGTTTGATACAAGTCGAATTTCAGAGCGGTTATGGAAAAGGAAAGCATCGTGGAGAGGCAAGAACAGAAGCCGGTGATGGGTGATACTCAGTGTGACAAATACAACCTGGTCGATTTTAGCCTGGAAGAGGTTGAAGAGGAAATTCGTCTCGAAAAAATTCGGCAAACGTCGCTTAAGTTTTCGTGGGATTATTTGTCACAACTTTTACGTCGAAATCTTATGGTGTGTTTTCTTCGTGACATTCCTTTGCTATTTCAGAGTTATAAAAATTGTGGACTTTGGGAACTTTTTTTTGTGGATCATCATGTTTTGAAAGGGAATTCTGCCACAAATTGCTTATCTCAAATTTAAGAATTGACGTGGAATCGCATAAATTTTCAGTGGTTCTTCCTTGCTGGAAATCTGACTTGCATTCCTATAGGGGTTGTTCTTCCCTTACCTTGCAGCATTTCTTTTTAACTACTCTAACAATTACGTGAGCGGAAGTGAATTCAATATACAAAGGAGAGATGGATTAACTGCATTGCTCTTTGGTTTATTTTTGAAGTTTTAGTACCACTTGCTTTCCATGTCGGGATTGGAGTTATTTAAAGCTTGGCAGATTAAAAAACAAATAACAGTTTGAAGAAACCTAATAAACTGGGGAGTTTATAATATCTTGCAGGAGAAACGTTTTGTACTCAGTGCTGATGATAAGGAGGACTTGATGCAAGCAGCTGCTGATATGAGGAAACATATGCCGTCGGATAGTGATCGCGATTTATCAACACATTTACGACATCTTGCTGAAAGCTTGTCGTAAGTATTACGTGCTAATAAGATGAATTATGAAATATCCTGGAAAATAGACAAAATATAGGTGTTAATTCTAACATTATGTGGAAATTATCTGAACGCGCGATTTGTGCAAGCACCGGACATTTTTGTATTATCATATCTCAATAATATAGCTCTTTATTCAATATTTTTATAACCCTTTACTTCAGAAGTGATTTCCAAGCTCATCCAGGGTACAAGATTCGGAATGCAGATTTCTCACTTGAAATTGCTGTTTCTGCTGATGGTCAACAAATCACCAGTTGTTCAGTATCCTGGTTTGGTGAGCGGGCAGTGGAAGCGCAAGCACTTCGTCTTTACGTTTCTCGAAACAGATGGGATCTTGTACATACAGCACTAACAACTATGTTTCACCTTGTTCCATCAGATTTGTCAAGGTGATATTATGAATTTCTCTCCGTATGATTATCTTTGCTGCATGCTTTCTCACTTATAACCTCCATACCTTTTTTAACACATCTTTTATGTACTGATATCTTATCAAAGTTTTATTAAAATCTGTTCAAGTGAAAAAATTTTTTTATTTCAGGGACGAAAAGATATACTGTTTGCGATCACTGGAGTATGCTGAAAAAGATCTGCTGAATATGTCTGGAAGTGCTCCGTCAGTTTTTGAACAAATAAACGGTAGTATTTTGGGTCTCTGTAAGCCGCGAACTGAATCAACCCCATTCACCATTTATCCATTCGTCGAACCTGTAGTATTCTTGGATGCTGCTTCTGGTGTTATCATATCTCCTACTGATGAGCAAGGTAAGCTGCTTTATTCTGCAAAGTCTTTCGAAAACCTTAGGTTTGGGATACTTTGTAGGATGTAATACGTAAAGCTACCTAATGTAACGAATGCTGCATATGAAATTTTAATTCAGCACTGTTGTAGATTACCAAGCTTTGGTCAGTACTTCCACAGTTAGGACAGCTTAATTGTTTCTATTTCTGCACAGCCTGCTTCCGTAGCCCACTTTTGAGAGATAAGGGTAAATGGCAGAGACAGTAGTCACGCTTGAGACTGTGCGGGACTTCTTTTTGCATTTAGATTGGCTGAATTTGATGTCTTTCTTTCATTAGGGTTCAGTCATGATATTGACGATATTGTCCTGTCAAACTTGAGACAGACATTACATTATCATTCACTAGTTTCAGTGTTGTATGATGTGGAGCCGTATCTTCAATTATGCATTGTCTCAAGTTCAACCCCGAACTTCTTTTCCGACACTATACTTTTTGCACAGTATGCACTTTTTTTTTACATTTTTTCTGCATTAATATTTACACATAGATGATTTATTTCTATGAAGATTTAACTACATCAATGATTCTCAATAATTTTGTAGTGGAGAATGGCGCAATGCTGTGTCCGGCCGTCAGTTACCGGCTGCATTTTGTTTACGGTTTTCAAGACCAATTATATTTTCATCAGCTGCAATTAAAAAGCTTTCTAAGATTGCATCAGTTCAGTTGAATGTTGAAGGCTCATACAATCTGTATCAATATCTATTGAATGAAAATGAAGTAGGCCCTCTTTTCTGTATTTGTTTTAAAGAATTTTTAGATATTTGAAAACCAGTGTTTAATATAAAAGCATTAAATTGATTTGTTTCTTTCGATTAAGTCAAGTGTGAGCACACATGAATTAGGAGCTTACGCACTAAATGACCCGCTTGAGTGATTTGTTATTGGACTTTTTGCCCCGCTTCAGAACCTTTAGCGATGAAAGAAAACAGATTTTTTTGTCGTCTGCTTTTTTTCTGATACTCTTCTCTGGATTTTTTCCAGATTTTTTATATCTTTTCATCTTTCTTACCGATAACTGATTGAATTCTTGCAGGAATGTCATGATCTTTTTGTTCGTTTACCAGGTTGTTCTACGCAACACTATATTTTTGACGACTCCATGACGTCTTCGCAGGAAGATGGCATTTTGAGACAGGTAAAGTGACTACCATGAGCAAATTTAAGCATGAGTGGTTTAATTAAAAACTGTCTATGAATGTCTCACAAGTTTCAAAAATTTCGAAATTATGTTCCTTGTTAGAATTCAAAAATTATATCGTAATTAACTTCAAGATAATTCAATTTTTGCAGATACCATTCGCTCATTTGCAAGATGTGGTTTTTCTTGTGAGCATTATTCGAACACAACTGGCTCATAATGCCTTCTTCGAAAGCCTTGTGAGAGCACATAGTCGTAGTGCATGTGTTGATGAAAATGTTGTTGATATCCACATTGCATCTTCGTACATCGACTGTTTTGATCTTCAGTTCTATCTGAAAAAGAATCTTTTTATAGGTAATGCTTCCAGAGACATCGTTTTTTGTTCGGAAATTCTTTTTTTTTTCACTACCGACTCTTCAAAGTTTGAGCTTATTGTTCATTAGCAAAAATGCAATTAAAATATTTGAAAAGAAGTAATCACCGAGACGACTTCTTCGAAAATTGTGGACTAACATGGAATTCTTATTGGAAAAAGGCAGCTAGTGGTGTTACTTGAATGCGGTCACATCGCAGTAACTTTGAATCTATAATGGGCAAGCTAAGGATTATGCTGAAATCATCTTTAGCGACTGATTTTTCGAAAAACTGAGAAATATATTTCCAGCCCGTGTTGCTGTGTCACCATCAAAAATTAATGTTTCATTGGAATGTGTAATAAATGGAGCGGTACTTCCGGAATCCCAACATGCCACAGCCATTCTTGCGAAGTGAGGATTTGATTTTCAACATTTGAATATCTTGAAATTGTAAGTTGCCGAAAAATTCTTTTGAAAAAATATTGTTGATTTGGGATGGTGACCATTTCAAAAACTTGTATTGAAATCTTGGGACATTGTGCGCAGCGTCTGAATTATAGTCATAAGTCATATTTTTTAAGAACCTATTTTAATTAATGCAGTGAAATTTAATGGTTTTTTTTTCTGCAGGAGTTGGTCGTTGGCAGTAATGATGCGAAGTGTTTTGCGGCGTGGAGGGGCCATTTCGTTGGCTGCGCTTGAAAAACCATTTGTGATGAACGAAAATGTTGATAATAACTGCGACGTTAAAATATCACAATCTTGGTTGTTTGTTCCAAACATAATGGACAGCAGCATTAACTACAACAAAACAGAACACGAATACGTGGTGGATGAACGAATTAATCTTAATTGTTCACATGATAGCAACACCTTAGGAAGGCAGTCACCACTGTCTTTATTAGCACTTTTCAAAGAGCTTGAAAAGATAGAAGAACTGATACCACCTCAGAAACCCATGAATGGAGCGCAACAATGTACGGCACCTCCACGTAACGAAATGCTTGCACCACGTACAAATCGTATCCATTCTGAAAATACGATGACGATCAATGCCTTCTCTGTCCTGGTACATTATTTTTGTTCTAAATTTTCCGAAAATTCTGGGGTTTATATTCAGTGCTGGGAGTTTTAAATTTAATGAAAATGAATACGACCGGCTTTGATCATTTATGATTATAATGAATTAGCATAGACTAGCAGTTTGTACATTTAACAACGACAGAATAGTAAGATTCCAGAACACTACTGAGTATCATTAAAGGATGCGACCGAGGTGATCGAATCAACCATTTAGTTTCTGTTCCCTTAAAATGTAGACACAGACCTATAATTCTGCTTATTCAACTCCATGGTTTTGACACACCGTTACGTAAATATTTTAGATGACGTTTTTCGGAATAACAATATGTCTGGAAACTGAAGTATCTGCAAGTGAAAGCCCATACAAGAAACAAGTTAAAACCATTGCTTTACATATAAAATTGGATACAGTCGGAAGATAGCATTTGGTTTAATTTAAATATAAAATACAATAAAAAGAGAAAAGCGAAACAGAGTACATTTTGAGCCAAGACGGAAAGTGGACATGTGCGTAATTCAGTACTGAAAATAGAGAGTTTGTGTCTTCATCAAATTATAACTGACTGATTGATTCGGGAAATTATATTAACGCATGTTCCACAATTTGAGTCTTCATCATTCGTTGAAATCTGTGCAAAGATGCATTCCATACAAAGGAATATTTGACAGTTTCTCAAGAAAGATCTCCCATTTCCACTTTATTATCTGCATTGCTCTGAAGTTACCTGATATGCAGAAATGCAGGAAGGAAGGTAGTTACTGATACTCTAATCACTGAGCTGATAAGTTAAAATTGGATGGGTTGAACTAAGTACTTGGAATATCAAGTAACTTTGGTAGGAAGGAATTTTCAATTTGAACTGTTCAGTTCTGGGCGAGCACATTTTAAATCAATTTTTTTTTCGAGTTTTGGGAAGCTTTATTCAAATTTTGAAGGATGCAATTTGTGACATGGCAGCAAGTATCGATGATGGTGAATCGAATATTTCCGAGCATAGTAGCCATTCATCTACTGTAGAGCGTTGTTCACCATCCATTAATGAGGCAAGTATTTTTTTTTTCTGCCAAAATTAAGGGATATAATTCGGTGATTTCAAATATCTGAGAATAAGTTTCTCCACATAGGAGGTTTATCTTTGAGTTCAAGGTCGGAAATTTCTAGAACTCAAATACTAAAAATGAATTAATTCAATTATCAGTTTGATTTCTTTCTTCTAATTGCAACTGAACAGATTTGATTTCAATATCGCTTTGCAGAGTCAAAGGCTTCGGCCACAAATACCGCCGCAATCACCTTCACCAGCTAGCGAACGTTATCGTACATCCCAAGCAGGAAATTTTTCACAGCTCTCGCCGCTCGATATTGCACGCCAACGTCTTGCGGTTCATTTTACATTTAGAATTTTTACTTATTGTTTGGCAAATGAATGAGTGGTATGTCATGCAAGAATGTTTTAATATGAGAAAATCTAAAATGAACTGGAAAAGAATTAGAAGGCACAAAGAGAAAAATTGATGAATTGGCAGCATGTAAACATGCAAATTACGATATTTTGTATAAAAGGTATAATTTTGTTGCAGTACAATGGTTCATGTTTTCAGCAGCAAGCACCGATGAGTAATCCGACAGATGTCTTTGAATTCGATGATCCACCTCGCATGAACTCAGCAGGTCCGATGGGAACATCAGCTCAGCAATTCCATTTTCCGGAAGCAGGACAAAGTCCATATTCCTTTGTAGCCATGCAAAGTACCAGAGGTCCACTGAGTGCTCAGCCGACTTTGAAGCGTCGGGGTCGAGGTCGTAAGGCAGGAAATATAGGTGATCGAATGTTGGATCCAGCTCGACCAATTCTTGATCAGAATACTGGTTTGATGTTTCGTGGTATGAATATTCCGACACGCAAGCCTCGAGGTAGAATATTTCTCAGTTTTTTAAAAGTACCTTTAATTTCAGTTATTATACTATGATGTTCATATCTCAGCTATTGGTGTTTTTCCTTTTTTACGTCAGCCTTTTTTGTGTTTGTGTGAATCCTACTACAAAATTATAGCTAGTCTTGCTACGAAAATTTTTCTGTTTTATAGGAACTTCGACAGCAAGGCGTCCTCGAAGACCCCGGAAAGCTGCTCATATGCCTGCGTCTCCTGCACATTCACATCAGTTTGCCGTAAATCGCCCTATGTTACAACGTTCCTTCTCTGAGATGCCTGCTTACCCTTCACAAATGCCAACTGGTAAAATCTTCCGAATTATTTACTGGATAGTCGGTTCCTGAATTTTTCATTTTGATTCATGCCTTCAAGATTTACGCTATCTTAAGTCGAATCCAAGAATTGAACAATAAATTAGCGAGCCGATTAATGAAATGAAATTAGTTATGTTGCATATTGCTTTATAAAACCCGCTTGAAGTTATTCGGCGAACAGGCTCTTAAATGCTGAATATATAGTGTAGAAATCGATCAAATCCTTGTGTAACTTTTTGTGCTAAAAAATTTTGAACTTACAAAGTTGTCATATCAGAGAAAATTTCATTCATTTTTAGTCAGCTTATCACAAGAAAATCGATCAGAAGCATCCGAATTCGATGGAACTGAAGAGTCGTCAGATGATGAAACTGATCCACCGCCTCCTGTTTGTACTACTGCGATGCCGCAATCGTCACCTCAACTTACTGCGAGTAACAGTACTTCGATTCCACAAACAACTACCGTCGGCAATCATCCTTCCTCATCAGCAACATTATCATTTGTTAATAAGTCTTCATCGTTAACTGCCGGTCTTTCATCTATTTCATCGAGGTATGTACTGTTTATGTATATTCCAGAAGTTTAGTATTTATCAGGTTTTTGTCTAATTTTACTCATCTTTGACATTATGCAAGGAGTTATTTGTCATTTTATGAGGGTTATTTGGGGTCTCTAAAATTTATAAACACTGTTTTCTTTTCTCCCTTCCAGGAATAATACTGAGTTCAGTTTTCGTAAAAAGACGCGTTTCAGTAATTTATAGCCATCCATTTCCTATTTATTTTACTCCTCCTTTTTATTGTCTGCAAAATTCATCCTTAGACCACTTTACCTTAGTTTCGGACATTAGCAAGATGAAGTATGCTCATATTTTTGCGGATGCCACTCCAAAAAATTTACAGTTTGTTTTCGTGTGAGTGGTGTCTATTTGTACAAACTCTTATATTTTTCCGCCGCTTTGACTTGTCGTTGACTTATCTTCTCAAATGGATGATACTAAAAATATGCTTTGTTTTGTTTCTGAAATATAGCAAGTTTTGGATATTCTTATATTTGCAGCAGTCCAGCAACAGAACTTGCACCTCCAAGTTCATCTCCAGCAGCAATCAGTAACAGTTCAATGCAGTCGGCGGGACTCTTAGCCCATAAAGCACGTAAAGGAAGTCTAGAAGCTGTGGTAGGGAAGTTGCACTGTAAAACAACTCCAGCAAACATCAGTGGTTCGACAACATCAAATCCGTATTTGGCTTCAGATTTATATGACGATGAATCGGAACCAGTTATTAAACCGCCTGAAGTAGTCCTCTTTTAACTTGAAATTCCACTTGAATCGATTGAGACATTCGCAAATGTTTCATTTCTATCCTGGGAATTTTTTATTTACTTCACATTTTGGCATTTTAGCCTATTTTATGCAGAAATAATTTGTACGCGCGCAGCTCCACCGAGTTTTTTTTCTATCATGAACATCAATAAAAGACCACTTCTCGATGCCTTAAACCTATGCCTTTTTTTCTTTTTTAATATGAATTGAGGCTTAGTACCTTAAAATATACCATTTCCTGAAAGAAAATCAACATTGTATAAGAGAGAAAAAGGAAAATACTTTTAAATCGTTTTCTGATGGTTTATACGGAATTTGATTATATTGCAGCCAGTTTCTACTAAGCGTGATAGTCCATCAATATCGACATCATCCCCTGGTGCCCGAATGTCGCCCAATCTAGCAAAGATGAATGCGGAACAGCCAGGTTACGGTTCAGAGTTGAAAATAATGATTAAATTGAAACAGCAGGCATCCGCGCGACCATCTACTGGACCATCGCAGTTTTCATCGGGTGGTGTGCCACCGTTAGTGCATTTGATATTTTTCCTTAATTTATTTGAGTTTTTTACTTCAATTATGGATAACAGTTTACCTCTGCAGATTCACTTTACTGTCGCTTATTTCTTCCCAGAAATCCATGTCCTGAATAGGTCTATGCGCTTGATTGGTCAGCCGCCTTCGTCATCACGATCAAAGGAAGAGAAAGCTCTTCTACGACAAAAACAGTTGAAAGAGAAAAATCGTTCTGCACCAGATGAACGTGCTCGAAAGGCGGGTAAAAGAGAACGTAAAGGCGAACTTAATAGTAGCAGTGGTAGTAAGGTATGTGATAGTCATGTTTTAGTCAGATACCATATTTGGGAACGATCTATCAACCTGAGGAACCTGGATCTGGAAATTTTCAAGAGCTGAAGGAATTTGGCGATTTCGGAAAATGAGTTGATCAGGATTTTGTATATCAGGCTGAATGGACTTTGATGTAATTGCTTTGATCTACAAAGCGTTTTCTGCATCTCAGTGATGCAGGAGTAACTTTGAAAGCTCGAAAATGTTGGCGCATTACAGTTTAGGAAAACCAGCTTTTCACAGACTTGTTGAAAAATCTGTATTATAAAGCTAATAAATTCTTCCAGAAATTGAAAATAGATCGACCATTAAATGAACAAAAAACAACAACAGCTGTTTCTCCAAAAGTGGAATTTCCACAAGCACTCGCATTCGCTAGTCTTAAAAACTTTAAGATACCAAAGGTAACCATGTTTTCTGTTTCAAAATGCAAAATGAGTGCCTTTTCGCGCAAGCCTTTGTAAAGGGGCCGTTTGTAGCGGTATGAAAGATCATGCAATTGCATAATTTAGATCGAGTAATGCAGGTTCTGTATGTGGGACATATTATAGAGGAGAGTAAACCTTGGTGACAATGTAGTCACTACTACGACAACTTTTCAAGTTCGTTCAGTTTGTAATGTTGAAAGGAGTAAATCTTAAAAATTTGTTTGATGCACAAAGTTTGTGTAAAATTTGTTACATTTATTTATATGGGAAATTGAAATTTGTGCTCCTGATTTGTTTTATTTTCTGTCTAATGTATAGGAATGAATTAGGTGATGGAAAATGAAAAATGTGAGAGCCCGACGCCAACAACAACAACCACTCCAGCTGTAGCTACCTCATCATCCTCCGGTACGCATTTAAACGTTGGTCAAAATTCGGGTTGTTCAACAGTGCAAGTGGTTTCTTCAACATCGTTATCAGCAACAACCACAATAACTCCAGCAACAACAACTCCATCTTCCTCTTCATCGGCTGGAACGTCTTCAATATTTCCACCCAAACCGAAATCAATTCTGAAATCACCTGCTGAACCACCTCCTCCATCACTTTTCCGGGGAATGGGTGGTATGCCACCAATGCTACCTGGCCGACGACCATTGCTACCGGATCCACGAAATGTAATGCATCATCCACCAAGGTTAGAACATCTTGTTGGCCATATATTGATAGTGTTAAGGTGCTTTAGAGCCAATCCTTAGAAATTCAGTAGGTTTCATAAGATTTCGTTAAAGATCCATTTTAATTAATCAGATGGTTGAACTGGTTTGCCGTGGTCATGTGGTTCAAACTTTAAACTTCAGGTGAACCGAAGTTATAGATCATACTTGAGTGGAAATAACGCATACTGAAATTTTAATAAACCAAGGGGTAGTTATGCCCTATATTTCTCTTTTTGTAGTTTTTCCTTTGAAGCTGGCTGATATTGTTACGGGCGACATTATCAGTACTCGTCTACTGCTTTGATTTTTGATCTGGCGGCACTGAGACGGGAATTGAATAGTTCGCACCAAGTAACGATTTTCTTTTCAGTAAGACGAATAATTTCACAGATTTAGAATCGTTAGGTATGCATTGTAAGATAGCTTGTTTCCTGAAAGATTGACAATTGCAGAAATCAATTTAGACCGTTGGTAGCACTACCCCGAATGATACCGTCAGTATTGAGTGGTGCTAATTTCATGCCACCACCTTCGTCATCAGGCCGTTGGATGGCACTGGCACCACAACGACAACGATCACCTAGAAGTTCACCGTCTGAACAGTCTGCTTCCAGTTCCGGTTTGTCCGATACAGCTGCAGCTATGTCCAAAATGCAGGATAGTCCGACAGAGGCTCTGAAAATTGTTGCCGACGACGAGTAAAGTGAAGACACAAATTCTTCCGTTCTGTCAGTTGCAAGATATAATTTTATTGATCGATCTTTCTACAGATTTTAATGTACATATTGTATTGACTACCTTTTGTTGCATTTCTAAAATACTACAGGTAATTTGAAGTATAAACATCGAGTACTGGGATTATCCTGAACTTATTGCCGGTTTATTTATTATATATATTGATTGATAGGATTATCTCGAATTTTTTGTTTGTTTTCAGTTGTTTTTTGGGGAGGAATAAAAGAAGGAAAACGTTATAGCGGAAAGATTAAAGGTTTTATTGTTTTTGCAAAAATGGCAGCTTATTTTCCGATTGAGGATATTGGTCTGAAACATGCTTTTCCTTATTCGACAACAATGAATATGGATAAAAAACAGTCCTTCTCCTCTTAATTTCCAACAGAAGTATAAACTGTGCTGCCTATTTGACTTTACATTTTTTATGTGGATCATAAAAAGTAAAGTAACTTCATTTTGCTACATCTTGTTTACGGTATACATAAATGGCTTTACAACTTATAATGGTTAGAGAAAATCTAAGAAATAATGACAATAGTATCCGACTTTTTCTTCCAATGGGCCTATTTTCATCGTTGTTGAGAAACTAGTATGCTGAAATTAAAAGTTTAAGTTGCTTGAAGAGCTCTTGCAGTTAAGTCTGCTCGGAAGGCTTAAGTAAGCGATCTGCAGAATTAATCTGATTTAATGCTGATGAATTGTGGAGATGAAGAAGTGCGAGTGTTACATAGGAGAAGAGGAGGACATTTTTTCTCAGATTTGAGAAGTTTTCTAAAATGTTGTGACCTTAATTGCTGTATCATTCACTGTTGACTATCTCATTCGGAAAGTACAGCTTTGTTTTTTTTTTTTACATCAAAATGATTCATTCTCTTCACTTCTGTTTGTTAAAAGTAAACGGTAGAGATGGAATTTTTGATGAGCCTAACGAGTGAGTACTGTTCAATATATTGACTTTTGTGCTGGTTTACAGATTCTATTCATCACATTACCAGTTTCATTCCATGTTCCATATCACAACAACCTTATCTTTTCTCACGAATTCATCTTTTGTCTCTTTTATTTCTATCATACTCGGTCTTTTCGTTAAATTGCTAAAGATCTATTTATATTTAGTAACCCTATTTACCTTAGCAGGATAGATTTTCAAAATTGTTAAAGACTAAAGTTTTTGCTTACATTTGGACAATATAGTCAAATTATACCAGTGCGTTTTGAATTCATTAAATTTCTCATAATCTATGTCTGTAATCATTTGCTGATTTCTTTTTTATGCATAGAAAATGTCATCCCGAATTTTCGATTGTTTTAAAATTGAAGGACAGTGTAAAGAAACCACACTTATAACATTTGCTGATTCATAACTGGTTTTGTCTGGTTGGTCTTGTGATTCCTTCATACTTAATCATTCTAGGAGTGAGTGATGATGACAACTTCTTACCAATGAGATGTAAGGTGAAATTGTTGAATGGATGGGGAATGATGTCATCTATTGTGTTCTTTAAAGTTGACACAAATTTGTCCTTATCTAATTTTGAAAGAGATGAAGATGAAAGGAAAAGTGCAGATACCTTTTAGACATATTTTCAATCACAAAATCACATCATGACATCTCTCAAAAGAAAAGAAGTGAAGAATTACTGATTGATTAATCTCCCACCTCTGTATTTTAAACAATTTATTTGCATTCACCGACAAGTTAGTCTGGTAAATGGGCTATTTTTAATGGTCACTTTAAAATCAAGAAACATGCATTATTTTACGACGGTCAGATTTTATTGCATTTTGGAATATAAATTTGTTAATCTGACCGTTTTGATCGTTTCCCATATTCAGTCATGTCACTGTTATCAAAGCCACATAATATGGAATTTTCCTTTGGTGATTAGAATAACTATCGGCCATGTCGTAATAGACCGTAATTCAAAATTAGAGTTAGATTTTTGCCCTTTTGAACTCGAGAGAGATCTCAGACAATCCTATGAAATACTGGAATACTCGTAATTTCACAATAGAGCAATGATATGTTAGTGGAATTTGCAAGGAATCGTAAAACATTCTTCTGCAAGATTGATATATATCAATGTCAACGATCAACTACACTTCTTAGTTCTTAACGGAGACAGATGAGAGAAGAGGAGACAACATAAGGTTGACAGTGATTAACAGTGTCTCAGTTACCCGAAAGTTTCACTATGTCTTGTTTTAGGAAAAGATGATGTGCGCAATTCGTCATAAATGACGAAAGGTTAAGGGAGTGGGAGAGGCGGTGTGGTGACATAGTGAGGTGACAACTGGCACTTTCCCCCATTCACAAACGTTCTTTTCTAAATTCCTTTACGTTGCTATGGATAGATTTTATGGGTAGATTCTGAACTTCTTTTATTTTTCTTCAATTCAGGTAATCAATAATCAAAGTACACTGTCCACTGTTCTATTTCATCCTTTCCTCTCTCTTTGTCTGTCTCTCTGTCTGTTTAATATGAAGCCAAGAAAACATCTGCTTGAATTAGCTTATTTCTATACATCCTTTCCCCCGCCTGAGGCTTTTCTTCCGAACGTTCTTTTCTAACCCAATTCCTAAAATATTTCCACAGCTCTATTTACGAGAATTATGAGAGAGAGAAAGCGAAGAGAGAGAGAGGGAGAGGGGGAGAGAGAGAGAGAGAGCAGTTGCCATATCCCTTACATTCCTTTTTTTCTCAAATCGATCATTCCTCCTCTCTTTTAAAAAAAAAAAGAGAGCTCAAACTGTTTGCCATCTTTTCTGTCCTAATATTGCAACTTTTCTCCTCTTTCTCTGCCATACTTTCTGCCTCTCTCTCCCACAATGTTTGTTCCATGCGATATGAAATATTATGACGCCTAACTTTTGTCTTTTATCTCATATACTGTTCTCTCCATTTATCTAAACTTTCTTTTATCCTCTTTCTTCCAACTTTTTATCTGAGAGAAACTAATCCCTCCCCTACACCTACTCATGTGCAATCATCAATAACTACTGCGTCTGCATACGGACAGTTGGATGGACTCATCTGCATGCGTGTACGTGTGTTTGTGTGTGTGTGTGTGTGTGTATGTTTGTTGTAGAAGATAGTTAATTAAGAGAGAGGCGGTATGAGGAGCAAGTTGAAAAGGCTTAAGAAGCCATATGTCACTCAGTTTTGTTGAGCAGTGCGTATGTCATCAAGACAAACTTCTCTCCTTTAGGTTCGCTTTAAAAACCTTGCGGTCTGCATACTGTAAGTTACACTATGTGTATGTATGTATATACATGTATGTATGTATGTATTTATGTATGTATGTATGTGTATATGTATTTATATTTATGTATGCATACATGTATGTATGTATCTATCCATATGTATATTTGAGATTTGTTCATCTACCGGAGATTTGTGTCGGTTAATTCTTTTGACAAAGCGTCCGGAGGTACCGGAAGTATGATTCATAAGAATTCACTTGGACATGCGGCGTCTTTACAAGGCATAACAATATTCCTTGGGACTGTGTACTGCTATTTCATTTCCTCTCTTCGCTCGTTATGACATTTTCATTCACAGTTAGAAATGTTTCATTGCGCATTCTTCCCATTCCTTTCCTTAGTAACCACTTATGTTATGATTATATCATCGTATAACTCATAACATGCTTCCCTTTATTTCCTTGCTTTCATTCGGCTCTCTTGTCTTTCCATTTAGTTAGCGTTCTATTACGGATATCTTCTAATGTTTATTTAGCATAGTAACTTGTGGAATTTCCTGTGCTATTTCTACAGCTACCCATTTTCTTTAGATCATAACTCTTCACTTTCCTGAAGAGTTTCATGGTCATCATGATCAATTCTTATGTCTACTTTTAAGCTTATCAATAAAGGCTTATCATCTTCCCTTACCCCTCCCCCCGCCCTCTTCTTTTCTTCTCGATCTTTTAATATTGCGCTATGATAATGTGATAAGCATTTCAGGTGTTTTCTTTCGGTTTATCATCCGATAGGTAAGCACATTTGTTTCTCTTCTATTCTGTTTCTTGTGGCAAATGCAGCCGAACTTCTTCACTAAATACTACGTCATCAGTGGTGATACTTCTAGTACTGCAAAGCATCTCGTTGATGAGGGCAACAGTAGTGCGGTTAATGCAACCAGTGATACTACTGCAGTTGATGCAGAAGCAACAGCGGCAGTGGTTGAAGTGAGCTGAAATTTTATTTTGAAAACAGAGTGATATCCCGTGAGTGTATCTTTCTGTGTTCAATCTGTTTTCTGTCCTTTTTTTTCTTTTTTTTTTTGCTAAAGAGGCTCTCGTAACAATTCATTGGGAACGAAAGAGAAGACTTACAGATAGGACATGAGAGATGTAAGATATTAGATTGGTTAGAAGTAAGCCATGGCTATGATATAAGTTATTTCACACTTTTTCCACTGCCAGTATTCCATAGGCTTATCATCTCCTCTGATGTTCCCAAAAACCGATTTGTTGTCTCTGCATGGTTGGTAGCACTATGGATGTGCTGTACTGATATCGTATGTAACCAAGTTTTGTTTGCAAAATGTAGCAAGCATTTATTTGCATAATGCTATTCAACTGGTTCAACGTCTATTTGATATTGTCATCGTGAAGAATAGGGAATAGGAGGTCCAGAACCACATAATTGTATAATTCTCTTTCTGCAATCGTTGGTCTTTTTTAAGACTTTTTTTTTTGCATGAATGCAGAAATTTTTCATTTAATGGCAGTGGCAGTCCTCTATAACAGTTGCATCGTAAATGCTACTATTCATTTTTTGCGCAGATCATATCACACATGACCTTGCATGAGTGACAAGGAGTGTAAGTGGTGGGAGGTTGATGTCTCGAATTCTCATTGATGCTACCACTTGTAAGATATTATAACGAACTCATCTCGTGTAAGTACGAAAAGGGATTTTTTTGTCTAAATTTGGTTTTTTTCCAACTGTTATTGTTATGCTAATGTCGCAGCAGTTTAACCTCTTTAAGCGATAATTATAATTAGATTGTTGCTGGCTTATTACATGATATGTTGTTTTGTTTGGCCTTGATTATGAATTAATGTTGTTCCAGAAAACTTCCAAATTTCTTTGGAAATGAGGTCGTCCTTTAGCGTAAGCATTTGTCTTTTGGTTAGCCCTTAACGAAATGTCATATTTATAATGTCTGTAGTTATCTTAAGTCGTTAATTATGGATTTACATTGGTTTGTTTTCAACTAATTGCAGCTTGACCTCATGTTGAGAATTTTGACCGGTTTGATCAGACGAAAGTAGGTGAACAGAGAGCTTCTCAAACATTTTCATACACTTTTGCCTCTTTGCTCAGTGCTTTATGAAAGGGAGAAAAAAGCGGAGGAAGAGATGCAGCAAATTGTTTGCTGTTTGTTGCTTCCATATCATTCTGTAACTACCCAACAGCTTTGGTATTAATAACGGCAACATTTCTGGTATATTTGGTTTTTTTTTTGCTTTTTTTCAGGAAATAAGGATAGACGACTATCATATCCTTATTTCATTTCCTATTTTATATTCACGCTATTTGTTGATTATCACGTACTTGCTTAATTGCATCGTCTTTTATATTAATTCTTATTTTGACTTGCTTTTACTCCTCGCATTACTTTCCTCTCCTTGTTCGTTATTTGTTATACAGTATATCACGCAGTCGTAGTTTGTTTGCTTTCCTGAAAATGATTTTGTAGCAACTTTCGCTTTATAGGTTTTTGCTTATTGGGACGTTTTACTCTTTAAAGAATGATTTTTAATCTTATGGAAGAAGGGAATTCTTTGGACATTTCGAGTGATATTTGCTTGTCCTAAACGTATTTTGTTTTATGTGAAACAAATTTCAAGATTTTGGTTTCTTCTGAAATTTTGGTTATTTGTATTTCTGCTTCCTTGATCTTGATTAGTAATGGGATGGACCACTGTACGGTTTCCTCCTGATTCCATAATTTGATTTTTTTTTTTGCCTGTTATTTTCCGTCACTTTTTGTAGTTCCTTAGATATTATTTGTTGTGACGAATGTGTTCTTACTAATTCCTGCTAAAAATTTCGTCTAAGATTGTGCTATGTTGTTACGTGAAAACCTATGGATGCTAATTGGTGACTGTTATTGCAGAAAATGACTTCCTACTCGCCATTTCTAACACAAGCGCAGAAAGATGAATTGCGGCAAATTGCTAATCAAATTGTAGCGCCTGGTAAAGGTATTCTTGCTGCAGATGAAAGCACTGGTATGTAAGAGTTCATTTTTTTTGCTTTTCAAAATTGTCTTAAAAAACAGTGGTAGTCAAATACTAATATAGGAAGCAGTGGTTTTGATGTTTGTTGTTTCCAGAAGTGGCTGAAAGGAAAGCTGCATAAATGTTGAACTGGTTATTTGATAAAGGCAAGAGATGAGAGGTCTTATTCTAAATTTATCATTTTCTAGGAAGTATGGACAAAAAATTGAAACCAATTGGACTTGAAAATGTTGAAGAAAATCGACGTTTGTATCGTCAGGTCTGTTTTTGTTAATATTTAAAGGAGTTACAATTTTATGGCTTATGACATTTTGATTAGGCTCATGTTACGCGTTGTGTAAAATGTTTGTTGTTTTTTTTTTTTGATCGAGGTGCGATATCTATTTCTGAAAGGACTTGAAAAATCTTTCAGCTTCTATTCACGGCTGGTGATGAAATGAGTAAATACATTTCTGGTGTTATTATGTTTCATGAGACATTCTACCAGAAGGGAGATGATGGCACACCATTTGTTCAAATCCTACAAAAGAAAGGTATTCTCCCAGGCATCAAAGTAAGTCAATTTTTTATACAGTTGAAAACTGAAAATTTTAGCTAGTTTTTTATACAGTTGAAAACTGAAAATTTTAGCTAGTTCGGGAAGGTTTCAGTGTTGTTTTACTTATGTAGTAATAACGAAACTAAGAATTACGCGCCCTACTGATATTTCACCATAATGCCAATTAAAATTGATGATTTAATTGACGGCAGTGAATCATGAGCTTATTTCGAGAGATTAATGCTCACATATAGCATCCGGTTTCCCTATCGATATGTTGATCAAATAGAATCTGTGGTCCGTTATCTTAACATGTCAGTTATACTGAAACCATTGAACAAGAATTAAATGATCTTAGTACTCTGTGACCAATTGTATCGTATTTAGGTTGATAAAGGTGTTGTTCCAATGGCAGGTACTGTTGGTGAAGGTACCACACAAGGCTTAGATGATTTGAATAGTCGCTGCGCTCAGTACAAGAAGGTCGTCTTTGTATTTTATGAAGTTCTTCCAGTCACTTATAAGAGTGCTTTCTTTATATGATTCATTCTGCTACATTCAATCTGCGATTTATCATGGCCTCTGTCTCAATTCCGTTTTACTGTGGCGAGTTAGTAATGTTTATAGAATATATGATTAATTTTAATTCTATGAAAAATAGCTAACTAGTTTCAGGATGGTGCACAGTTTGCTAAGTGGCGCTGCGTTCATAAAATTGGTGCAACAACACCTAGTCATATGGCTCTGGTTGAAATTGCTGAAGTAGGCATTTTTTATCATCTGCGTTTTGTTTTTCACTTTTATGATTCTTACTAATAACTATTCAAATTACATAACAAAAAACGGAAGTGCTATTTTTTACAGTTATATATTGAGTTATTTGTATCGTGCACACGAAACATATTTTCTGTGATGATGCAGCATATTTTGCTTTAATTCTCTCATTGAGTTTATTTTGTACCATTTTCAAATTTACTTTTATAGGTATTGGCCCGCTATGCTTCAATTTGCCAGCAGCATGGTTTGGTACCAATTGTAGAACCAGAAACTTTGCCCGATGGTGAGCATGATCTTCATCGATGCCAAAAAGTCACGGAACTTGTCCTGTCATATACGTACAAGGCATTGATTGATCACCATGTTTACTTGGAGGGGACGTTGCTGAAACCGAATATGTGTATGCCGGGTAGGTTATTCGGAATTGTTTATTACAGCGAAAACAGGACATAATATTATGATTAGTGAATGTAGCAGCAAAGATGATGCGTGCAAAATAAAGCTTACAGGATGCCTGCTATTGGAGTTACATCATATGAATAAATTAATCAAGATTGTTTTTCAGGGATGCAATTCAAGGGGCAATGCTCACATGAAGATATTGCACGAGCTACTGTTACTGCTCTTCAGCGTACGGTTCCAGTAGCTGTACCTGGTGTCGTCTTCCTTTCTGGCGGTCAATCTGAGGAAGATGCTACGCTTAATTTGAATGCGATCAACCAGTTTCCAGTACGTTTTTACTCTACCTAATGATTTTTTGGAGTGCGTATGAAATGAAAACTCCTGTTAACATGATTAACCGAGTTTGTAACCTCTTATGAAAGGAATGCTCTTATTTGAACATCGTGAAGTTTTCGTTTAGAAAATATATCATTTGGACTTTTAATCCAGTCTGCACTGTTTTGTAGAATTGACGGAATAGGAGGAGAGGAGAGTTGTTAACCAATTTTCATTTTTTTTAAAATTTCCTCTTCATTTTCAGGGTAAAAAGCCGTGGGCTTTGACCTTCAGCTATGGTCGGGCACTGCAAGCATCAGCTCTGGCAGCTTGGGGTGGTAAGCCGGAGAACATTCAAGCCGCCAAGGAAGCATTCTTGAAACGTGCACAAGCAAATTCGCTTGCACAATTGGGTAAATATACCGGAGGTGCAGGTTCTGGTGCAGCAGCACAAAACCTCTATGTTGCTAATCATGCATACTAGATAGTCCACTGTCCACTCTCCTACTGACCATTTTTTCCTGTATTAATTAAAGGAGGGATGAAAGGGAAAATATTTATTTCGATCTCTTACATTGGTAATTTATGAATTCTTGTAGTTTCGGTCGTGCCATGATTTATTACTTGGTAATTAACTCTTAGTTAATTTTCATCGGAGCGTTTTGAGTAGAGGTTGTCAAAGTTAGATTTTGTGATATATCATTAAATCATCGATGTGGCGGTACATTTCTGCTGCTGACAAGTATTCTGACAAGTAGCAAAAACTAGTAAGTTTAATAAATTGCAGTCTCTGTCTTTCGTGTTTTTTATTTGCCCACGCAACAAATGCACTGAACAAATGACTCACGGAATTATTCCACTTTTTTAAAAAGTGAATGCAAAGGATTCAAAAAATTAAAAAAATAGCAGCTTCTCGAAACGTAACAAATAAGAATGTGCTATAAATTACTTCATGATAAATGTTGAGGGAAACAGTTCCCAACTCTACCAGTACAGTCTACACCATTGTTTAGTTAAATTTTCATTTAACATCTCAAACTGATCATCCTTTATGATTCATCATAACGAACCGTTGTCATTCGTTATGAATCATCGTAATTCATATCAGTCACTCCAGAGTGTTATTCCAGTTTAGGATTTGTTTCAGTACAATTACCATTACGCTCCCTGCTTGGATAAATAAGCTAGCTAAAGGCGTAATTTCATTGGATCGGCATAGATTTGATCGTGTTTCGTGTACTAAAAACCGTTAACTACCGTTCTATATTATAATTATACTTGAAGCGAGGGGAACATGAAGTTTAAATTTGAAGAGTGAAGGCTTCCTGCGAAGCAAAGTAATGTAAGGCTGTGAAAGGTTCCCAAAGTGCTGGTGACTCACTCGCTGCTTAATACGTCAAAGGTCATCGAAGAAATTTCCTTTAGGAATATTGGAATGTTACAATTGAAAAGCTTAATTAATTATTGCTATTTTATATATTACAAGGATTGCCTTTTAAAATTGCGTTAGTATTTTTGCTCGTGATTAACATTTGCATATGAGAGTTATTCCTCAACTTTGAATGAAGTTCATTTCGGCTCAGAAACCGGAATGCTACACTGTTGAAGTTACGCTCCGTTATTAGTATCCCATTTATTTTAGTTTTATTGAAAAGCTGCTTTTTCAAAACATTTCAATGAAGCAGCAGAACTTCTGTATCCTTTCCCAATAATTAATGGAATTACTCAATGGTAGTGAATGTAAGTGAATGGTTAGACTACTTCGAATAATTAGAGTTGGTGTTAAAGATGAGGTAAAAAAACTACTGGAATTAAACTTTTCCGATACTGCATTGTTCCTTCAGACTTGTCTTCAGAGAATGAAAGAGTCTTTTCCCGGTCTCTAATTTTTTTTTTTTTTTTTTTGTAAGATGACTATTTATGAACGAAAAAAGACTGGAGATGTCATCCGATTATGCTATTATG